TCCTTTTCTTCGCAAAACAGAAAGAGAATTCTACTTTGTGAGGGTTATAATCCCAAAGTGCGGCCGAAGGCCGCCTACGCAGAAAGGTGTTCTCAAGTTTTTTGCATACATTGGACATTTTATTCGAAATTTGTTGAAGTTAATGGTGATACGCTAACCACAAAGCGTAATTTTTTGCAAAATCTGATGAAAAATTTAAAAGTAAATTTTCACGAATTTCATGTGAACAAATATTCCCAAAACTATAAAGTAAACCAAAAATAATTTTCCCAATTTGTTCTTGTTTTGCATGTTAAATTATGAGAACAATTTATTCACATGGAATTGGCGATTATAAAAAGAATTTATTTGAAAAGAGAATTCTTTGGAATTAGATAAAAGATGAAAGATAGATGAAAAAATAACAACATAATGCTCTCGTGATTTTTATTATAAAATAAAAAGAACAATTTCAATGAAGTCTCCTTTAACCTTGCATATTTTAAATATTTTTAATAAAAAAGGTGCGAGCCACGTAAGTAAAAAAATTACCCAGCACTGATAATGATATTTCATTTGAAATATTATTAAATTGGTATAAATGTGGGAAAGAAAATACTCCGATTTATTGTTTTAATATTATCAAAGTGGTAAGGCCGTTGATAATACTCACAATTAATGAAACTTCAAAAAATTTTATTATCCGTCAAAAGTTGTTTATTGAAACTACCTTCTTTTTTGTATCATGCTTCAGACTCAACCTACAGGCTGATCTTAATAACGTCGTTGCTTGGTGCTCCAAAAATAGATTAAAATTAAATACAAATAAGTGTTACCATGTCTCCTACTCCAAATCTCGTTCCATTACCCAGACTTCTTATCTCATTGGTGACTCGCAGCTTGCCACCATTGATGAAGTTTCTGACTTAGGAGTAATTTTTGATGCCAGATTTGTTTTTCACAGCCACTTAAATTATCCCATTGCTAAGTCATATGCAATGCTCGCATTTATCCGTCGATTTAGTTCCGATTTCACTGAACCGTATACCATAAAACTACTATACACTTCTCTTGTTCGTTCTAAGCTCTAGTACGCTGTCTTCATCTGGCGACCATATTATGACTGTCATATTAACAGAATTGAACGTATCCAAAAATCTTTCATTCGTTATGCTCTACGATCACTACATTTTGTCGACCCTTTCCCAT